GAGAGAGAGAGAGAGAGAGAGAGAGAGAGAGAGAGAGAGAGAGAGAGAGCATAAAACACGCTTTTACCAAAAGAAAACAAATGGACATTACAAACACAACACGTAGAAAGGGGTCGCCAGTTTGAAGGGTTTGAAAATTAGGGTTATGAAATATGTTCCATGCATGTTTGTCAATTTTCCACTGTGGGCCTTTTCCCTCTCCTCTTTTACTCTCTCTCTCTCTATATATATATATATATATGCGTCATTTTTATATATATATTTTGGGATTGCTGCTAATTAGAGAAAAACGAATGTCCCATTAGTTACAAATATGTCGATAAGCCTGCGAAATTATAACATCCGGTCATTTTTCTATCACAATAAAATTATATCAAGAGAAAATCCACTATATGGATTTCGTTGGAGTAGAAAATGGTTAGAGTTAAAATATGTCTCCCGATGAGTTTTCGTGCCGCCACATATTTGAAACAAACTGATGATTCCAAGCAGTAAACTTCATTTTGCTATAGGTTCATTTAACAATTTTATTTAAATAGATAAGGACATATGATCCCGTTGGTTCATTTACACGTACGTTCCCCCGTGATTTCAGATATAATAACCCATAGCATTGATCAATATAATGTAATGAATCATCTATTTACTCTTTTTACAAATTTATCATCAATTCAGTTTGAATAAATTGAAAGCCTTCTGGAATTTGTCCCTTATGTATAGATATATATATATATATATATAGTCTTAATTATAAACTAATGTATATAAAATTAATAAAAAAAAATAATATTAAGTTTGTATATTTTTAATAAAAACAATATGGTTTTTATTTGGAGGAAGGGGTACGTGAGAACGTAATAAAATGTCATTTTCGGTTGTTGTATTAAATGTCGTATTCAATGAAAATCTAAGGAATAAGTCAATGACGCAGCTCTCATATTTACATGCATGACACCTTATCATTGGTTGGTCCACTAACCATAGTCTCCCTTCATACGTTCAAATAGTTGTTATTTGGGCCATTTTTTCCCTATAAAAATATTTTGCAAAAAAAAAAAATCAATAGAAATATATAATAATTACCTTATTTATAGGTAATTATTCTGACAGCCATGCTACATATGCATACAATCATATATAATTGGATATCCTTAAACGTTTCTTCTTGTGATTCTTGTTTGTCAAAATTCGAGAAATATATCGATATCTAACCCATTGAGAAACTTCTTTTAAATTCCCATATTCTTAAAAGTTAAAAAAAAGGTAAAAAGTCGTGTGAGTTTTAAAGAAATTTTACAAACTATAAACAATTATAACCCTAAAATAATTGTTTTTTTAATAAATATTTAGATTATATATTATGGAATTATATCCAACAATTTGTTGAATAGAATTATATGCATCTGGTATCCACAAATCCCGATAATTGGATCGGTCTATATCTCTCTGATATTTTCTAGATCTTACATTACTAATTTAATAAATGAGTCTTTTCGAACTTTTTGTACGCATGCAGTGTATTCGTTACAACAACTTGAAATAACTTTGACTGTGCGATATATACCATGTGCAAATAAAAATAAAATATCAGGTACTGCCACTTATTTATATGAGACAAAATTACAATAATAATAATAATAATAATAATAAAATAGATTTAGATTAGATTATGGTGTGATATATATTTTCTGGAGCCAAGTCTGTGTCAATTGGGACTTCATGATTATTCTACACCTGTTTGGAAAATTGATTTTGTCCCCCACAACCTTTTTGGTATGCATATGCATATATATATATATATATATATATATATATATATATATATATATATGAATTAAAAAGGAGGGAAATTAAAAGCGAGTTTACATGTCATTATATTGTTTTGTAAAATCATGGGCATGCTTGTGAGTTTATAATCATTAATTCTTTGAACTTCTGTGTACCCTTTTTCCCTTTGGGGTGTTTGTCCTTTTCTCTTTACTCAACCAAAATTTAAAAGTAGTGGGAGAAAAAAAAACATGAAAAAGTTAATTTTAATTGAATTTTTTTTATAATCTGGATGGTTTTTCGCACCCGACTACATCCACCTAGGTTCAGGACCAACCTTTCTATATAGACTATTTTAGTCCAGAAATTAAATCACTTTCCACCAGTGGAATCGAACCCATGACCTTAAAGATGATTTTGTCACCTTTCATCCACTGGTCACTTGTTCAAATATACGACTAATATTCTTGATTTGGTGTTTGTTTGAACAGTAAAAAAATGATAAGTTTGAAATTTTACGGTTTACAACGGTTTAAAATGAAAAGAAAAACAAAAAATGGGAAATGACACACGTGGCATGCATACAAAAAAGCCAGTTTTAGCAGAGCATCAAATAGATTATCGATCGTTTATTCGTGCAATTTCTTTTATTTTCTTTTTTTGAATTCCGTAGCCTCCCTCGCACTATAAAGAAATCCTTGTATCTTACGATAATAATTCTAGTCTAATTTTCTAATATATATTTATCTATATACGCATAATAAGATCACGTAATTGAAATAACCGTAAAATGTGGGATTCAGGGATATAAATGTGAGAATTTCGTAATTTCGATTTGATTAAATTTAAAATAAAGGTTTTTATAAGGAAGAAAAGAAATGATTAGGAGTAGGTCCTTACATGCAATTCTTGCAAATGGACGGAAGAAGACTAACTTCAAATTTTTTTTTTTTTATAAAAAAAATTCAAGCAGTGCCGACAGTAAGAACTTTCCTTGTCATTTTTAATATCAAATTATTTATACATTGTCTTTTAATTAATCGGACCCATAATTAATCGAGGCTTCGGATTAACATTAGCACGTATTCATTGCGCTTGAAGAAAAGTATTATTGAATCGTGGGTTTCAATAGTTTTCTCACGTACTCCTGATTAAATGGCCATCGATGACATGGAAATCGAATCCTAAACATGATGCATCATGTCTCGCCATGCACAAAACCTTACAGTTATATCTATATATGAATCGATACCTGATCATATAATAAGTGGTTTTGACTAGAATCTTTGTTATCGGTCCAAGGGTTTGTGAAAGTTGTTTACAACTAGTTTACCCATAAAGCTTTTACCCATATCTGTTGAGACAAGCAGTTGCACACACAAACATATGCATACATACATATGTATATATATATATGTGTGTGTGTTTGTAAGTGTGGTTATATATATGTGTGAGGAAGAAAAGAGAGGGAAAGTGGTCAAAGGCAATAATGGAGAAGGGAATGATGGTGTTGAGAGGAATGTAGAATCTCATGTGGAGGTGTTGGGTTGAGAGACAACCAAACATGGCCTTATAAGGTGAAACCCCTTTTCACTAACATCCAATTTTTCTTTTTTTATTTTTCACTTATATATATATATATATATATATATATATATATACACTTTTTATTTGATGCGAAAGCTTATGATCATTTGATTTTAGGTGCCTTGGATCAAGTGTTTAGATAGTCGTTCAAAGTTCAAATTAATTCAAACCTTAAGGTAAAAACATTAAGGAAAGCACATGCTTATATAGTTTTGGAACATATCTTATGAAAGATTTTTTTTTAAAAAAAACAAATGCTTAGGAAGTGCAAATAGAAGGGGTTAGTGGCTTACATGCACCCTGAAAAACCCTAACTTCTTTCCTAGACACAATACAAACCAATATGGATGTGTGTATGTGTATATATAATATATATTATAAAACGTTTGGTTATATTAATTTTAAAACATGCACTTTTATAATTTATTAAAACACAGACTTTAAATGAAACAAATATATGCACCTAATGTTGGTATGAAGACTCTCGACAGAATTCAAAAATAGGGCAAAACGAGAAATCACCATTAGCACGTTTAACCTAATGATTACAGAATTTTTAACCACGGACGTATTTGATGTTCACGTATTGGCCAATATATAACATGATTATCATTGGTACGGATTTGTAGCCATTTGACTGTTATGATTATTATTATAATTAGTATAGTTCGTGTGTAAATGAATGCAGAAGATATTTAACCGTATTTTTTGTATTCATAACCTCTATTGTGTATTTGTATTTGAATTCTCTCATTCGCAAGTGAATATATATATATATATACATACATACATACATACATACATACATACATACATACATACATACATACATACATACATACATACATACATACATACATATAGAGAGAGAAGCTTGTATATGTGGATTTCAGATATCCCAAAACTAAAAGCGACACATTTTCAGATAGTGGGCCGAGAATCGCATGGGCTTAACCCAATAATTATATTGTCATTTTCAGGCCCATTACAAATTTAACCATTTTATTAGATCATTCTCATCAATCTTTTGATACACATCGTATTATCCTATTGGTTGATTAATTTTCATTAAAATAATGTTTGGATATTAGATCTCATTTCTCTCACTAGGTAGAACTCAATTCATATTCATGAATCGAAATTTAGATTTGTTCATTGAATTGCGTCAATTTTAGAATAATGCATGAAAATCAACAATTTCGGTTATTATTCCCTCCAATATATATATTGCCATTCCGTACATATTTAATATTTTAATAGTGGTATTTGTCTTCATACCCCCAATTAATTCAACATTTTATGATAAATTTGTTCGGTGCATCACTTCATCCCTGATTGCTAATTAATATCTATTTGAATGTTTCACGGACAAAATCAAATACCAAATAAAAAAAAACAAAAACCCAATAGATTTCGGCGCATTTGTTTTCATTTGTGAAAACCTGAAGAAAAAAATATATAAAGTGAACTCCAATCGAATTTATTTCGGATTCTATTTGTATTTATTCAAAATTCATAGAATTTAAACAAAATAAACTAAAATGAACTTAATATGCCGTTCAACTTCTAATTTATAATTTATAAAAATCGTATGCATTAAAAATGTAATGGAACGCGTAAATACGTGGGTTTGGTGAGCCTAACCAACTTGTTTTCAGACGTTGAACCAACTAATCAGAACAGAACACATTGGCTCCGGTCCCACCTGGTGGATCCCACCCTCTTTTATTTTTATTTTGATTTTTCAAACCCTCATTTTCTCGGTATTTAAATGTAACTTATATTTAATTACTAATTGTTTATAGAATTTGATTGCCCTCAACGCAAACGAATTATATAAATTCAATGGCCATTAATTAAGGATCACCGATCACTAATATCATACAATGCTTATATTATATATCTTGTCACTGATATAAAAATGTTTTAAAAATGCTTTACAAAATAAGTTGATTTTATTAAATTATAAGAAGACAATCTATCTTCCAAATATACCATTGAAATGATTTTTTTTTTTAAATTCACCGAGGCAATAAAGTTACAATGTTATAAATAATAATAATAATAGAAACTTGATAATCATTATCGCAATTCAACCGATTCATAAAAACATCATCTAAAACTCGAATCTTTGACCATTAGAAGGAAAACAACATACAAGAAGCTCACTGTTGAAATAAATGTCTAACGAAACAAAAAAGAAGTCGGTCCATTCCACGGTGGCTCAGTAATCGACATGACATATGAGGATATTTCATTGCTATCTTCTAGCGTCTTTGTTGCCGTCAATACGAATTGGGAAATAATTTCCCCACAAATTAATTCTGATTAAATAATAATAAGATAAAATAACACCTTAATTTATATATTTTTTACATTAATTTTTAATTTGACAAATTTCTATACTCAATTTCAAAATCAACCAAATCACTAAATGAATTCGTAAAATTATTAATAATTAACTATATAATCGAAAACGACGTTAGATTTAATTGATTTTTTGTTGAAAGGATGTGTTTTAACATCTGATTATGTGTATTGCCACGTATTAGAGGGATGTTAATTTGTCAAGATTATCTCTGAATCGTGACGTGCATGGTCAATCATAGTAATTTCTCTTAAATGTTATAAAAGAAACTTTTTTTTTAGGAATGATTAATGTTTATTATTATGGCGGTGGTTAGATAAACGACAAGAGATTCAGATGGGTTTTGATATTGTTATGGGCGCATGGAAAACGTCAAATTTTGTTGCGACCGACCGTATAAACTACCATGCTTATATATTATGAACTTGTTCGATTTTCTAACCATCAAGGCGAATTAATTTTCCCATAAAAAAAAATATACGTTACAAAACAACAAAGTTGGCTGTTGGCTTGCGTTATTTGAACCGACTTGATTGGGTGTCAATATTTTAGAAATAATTTCAATCTTGTATTAGTCATTAATTTGGTAAACCGATATGTGATATGATCATTTGATTATATTATATTAGTGTGTTGATGAGCCGATATTCTCGATCGGTAGGCACATTTGTTCTTAAATGACATTTAAATGATTATACTAAATCGTTAAAAAGTGAACCACGATATTTTATATGCGTATAACATTATGATATCACAAAAACACATGCATGCAATGTACGTAAACCGCATAACATAATACAAGCTTTAATATACATAAAATGCACATAATGTGTAATTAAAACGGTTGAATAAGGAAAGGCAACTCTGAAAGGACAAATCTAAAGTCGGGTATGAGTTTTGAATCTTAAAGCGCGTTGTGCTTCAGTGACTGACCTGGTCCGAGTCTTCGACTTCAGAAATTGAAGTCAACCGTTGCTTCTCATGCCCCCTTTTTTTTTTGTAATATATATATATATATATATATATTTAACGTATTGGATAAAATTCAGATTAATATGCCAAGAGATACATAGTTTTGTTATGTTTATTTCTATTTATATCTAATATCGATGGTAATATAAAATATGTTTGCTGTCGTAGTATTTTAATTTCTTCACGCCAAAAATAAAAATAAAAAAGAATAAGAAACACGTTATTTTGGAAAATAAAAAAATCGTAGGATATGACGACCATTATCGACCTCCGTTGAGCTGTCTGCCAACGTACCCGAATAACTTGAAAAATAAATAAACGGGCGAAAAAACCCAATTAAATACACTTATTAATTTATTATTACAAATTAAATTTATCCTAACAATTCTGACATCTGTTACAAATAGGAGATTTTATCCTATCGTAGAAATCTTTTAATACCAGATTTATATATGTCTATATTTTATTTTGGAAGAAAGAAAGGAAAAAAGTTACAATCAAACACCTTAATGGTCAAAAGCTTGACCATCTTATTGTTCTTTGATTTAGCTTAAAACTATTAAATAGTGTTATTTGCCATTTATGTTATTCCAAGGTCACAAGCTTCACTAATTGCTAATCAATGCCTACCATAATTACTACGATTAATTTATAATATAAATTTTCAAAGTTAGACATTTTTAAAAGTTTATAACCAAATATTATTCTCAGAATGTGAATTTTTTTTTTTACCCCATCTCTCCCTATGATTATGTTCTTACAATGATTATGTTACGAGGATCATATATGCTCCCGAGTCCCTGGACAGATAATGATAATACATTGAACAAAAAATATATGCAAAATTATATTTTTGTATTATATTGGCTCCAAAAAAGAAAAGTTGAAAAAGTCACACTGATGTCAAAAGTTTCCGAGTTGCGATTACTTCCTCTCTTTCTAATCCTATTTTTCCTCGATTTTTTATTTATTTTCCAACTAGGAAATCTAAGAGAATAATGGGTTTTTATATAAATTCGCCGAGAAAAACCCTTCAAAACCTCAGGAACTTTGGTTCACGCAACCTCCTCAGAATCTGAAAACCTTAAAAGAAAAAAAAAACAGAGCGCAAATGTCTCCTTCTCGCCATATCCCGGCGTGCCTTCGTCCCTCCGATCATCATCCGCCGCCGCTTCCGGAACCATCTCCGCCTCCTCGGGCAATCTCCGGCGATCCCAACCTCACCACGTGCCTCTACCAGACGGATCTAGGCGTCTTCTACATCACGTGGAGTCGTTCCTTCTTCGGCCATTCCCTGAATCTCTTCCTCCAGACCCAAGATTGCTATCACCACTCCTCCGCCTCACCTCTCTCTCTCTCTGCCGCCGCCGCTGCCGATCTCTCCCCCTCCGCCGTCTCCTTCCGCCTCCACGTGAACCCACTTGCCTTCTGGAGAAGACGCGGATCTAAACGCGTCTCTCAGAAAGTCCAAATCTTCTGGGATTTGACCAGGGTCAAGTTCGATTCCGGACCCGAACCCAGATCCGGGTTCTACATCGCGGTAGTCGTCGACGGCGAGATGGGTCTCTTGGTCGGAGACGCCGTCAGGGAAGCTTACGCTAGGACCAAAGCGGGAAGACCCACGATTCCTCAGGCTCTGGTTTTGAGGAGAGAACACATGTTTGGGAACAGAGTGCTGTGTACTAAAGCGAAGATCGGAGGGAGAAACAGAGAGATCTCGATCGATTGTCGGATCGACGAAGACGCAAGATTGTGTTTCGGAGTCGACAGCAAAAGGGTTTTACAGATCAAGCGACTGAGATGGAAATTCAGAGGAAATGAAAATATCGAAGTCGATGGAGTTCCTGTCCAGGTCTCATGGGACGTCTACAACTGGCTGTTCGAGAACAAGACCACCGCCACCGTCGACGGTAACGGTAACGGCGGAGGTCAAGCCGTCTTCATCTTCAGGTTCGAGACCGACCCAGTCGCCGCAGCGGCGGAGTACGAAACGGCGTCGTGTCCGTCGTCGGAGAAGAACGGCAGCGTTTTGTGGCAGCCCAAGCCATGCGGGTTCATGGAGCTGAGGAAGATGAGGAGAAGCTTCCTGAGGAGCACGAGGGCTCGGACAAGGAGCTCGTCTTCATCTTCCATGTCGGTGTCGATGTCTTCGGCTTCGTCGGCGTGTAGCTCCTCCGTGCTCGAGTGGGCGAGCAGCGCCGACGAGGCGGAGTACGGTGAAGGCGGTGGCTCCGGCGGCGGTCTTGGGTTCTCGCTGGTTGTATACGCATGGAGGAAGTGAGGCCTCCCACGGCGGAGAAAAGTGAGTTTTTTTTTGGAAAAAAAAAAGGTTCTATGAATGGGTCAATCAAAATATTTTTCATTTATGTAAAAGCTTCCAATGAAATTTACTAACAAAGGATGACTTGTTCATGGCAAAGTTGAAGTTAACTTTGGCGTTTTGTGGTCATTCAATTCTAACCCTTTTGATAAATTTAGCGAGGGAACGTTATATATATATATATATATATATGGCTCACACACATTTTATGTATGGACGTAAAAGGATGCGAAATAAAATTAAAACTATTGCTATAGTTTGAAGTTGGAGTCCATTTTGCTACAAGTTCAAATTGTTATATTTTCCCCACACATGGGTTTTGGAGGTTGAATTGGACGAATCTTTTTTGGAATTCCAAAGTTTGGTTGGAGTATTATTGACAACTTGAAACCATTACGTGCCAACAAAGCCCTCGAGGCTCAAAATATGATTGGGTTATATGGTCACGCGCGAATAATTCTTGTCTATATATATCATTGCTTACTTTGTCAATTTCGTCTTTATTATAATCTCTACTTCTCTTACATACTCATAACGGCACTTGGGCACGAAAAAGTTATCGGATGTTGCAATTTAAAGAATAATGGGCTATGTTTAAGTAAAAAAAAACTATGAGGCTATTTTGAGAAAAACTAGAAATTAAGTGGATACCTTTTTGAAGGTTTGGCGAAAATGATGTTTGGGGTTTGTCTTATGGCGTGAGCTGTGTGATTATGATAGGAAACAGTCCTTTTTTTTATATACTTTTGGGAAATTTCCAAGTTTTCCGACAAAAGTACCAAATGTGCATGTGAAATATAGGCCCCCTTTGTCTTCCACTTTTTTTTTGGCCCATCATTTTCCTCTATTTACGGAATCAGCCGCTGATTTTCATGGCTCTTTTTGTCATTACATACCCATCTAAATCGTTATGTTCTATGCGCTTGTAAATATTCTCCTCCTATAGACTATATAATACGTACACGTGTATTTCGACGTTGTTCGAAAACTATTTTATTTTAGCGAAAAAAGAGTTTAATATGATTTTCCATGCGATCTCCTTTTGATCTGAGCCGTCCACGTGTTCGACCGTAGAAAAGGGAGTGCTCTTTCCTTGTTTTTGTACTGTTGGTGACGTGTTAGTTGGTTTTCCATTGACCTTGACGGCGTTTTACCCTTTCGAAAACGGCACGCATGGCAGTTGTATTTAGGGTATCCGTGATTTTGTTTTTGCGTTATCTAATCTCGATTTTACGGAATAATCTAAATGTTTAGATATCTATTAATTATCCGGGTTATAAGAAAAAGAGATGGATATGGGGCAATGAACACCAAATCCGAAGTCTAATTAAAGATGAATTCGACAAAATGTACATCGTTTCTCATCACCAATATTCGAACCAAAATCTTAAATTTCCGGTTATCAAATTCGACCTCGTCTTTTCTATTCGACTCCGTAAGTCGGGTCGGGTCGGGTAAGGTGGATTAACATTATTTTGGGTTTATTTTTTGACTCACGGAAAAAATTGTTGAACATAACACTATGTAATAATAATAATCATATTCATAATCATAATGACTAAAAGATACAATAAATCATTTACATTACATACTCAATGTGATATAAATCATAATTCTAATTCAGTGGATATTTAAATTTAGAAATAATACATTTTAATTTAAAACTAATTTTCATTATACATTTTAATATATAATTTTGTCTAAAAACTGAAAAAGTCAAAATGGAAACATATAATTAAAGAAAAATATTATATATATACATCGATTTGCTAAAAAATAATAACAAAAGAAATTTGTAATCTCCAAAAAATATACGGATTTGCAAATGTGTGTGTGTGTATATATATATATATGAATTTTAGTTTTTTAGAAATAGATTATTTTTTTTTTTTATATTTTTAGTTATTAACATATAATGATATGACATTCGTATGACGATGATATAGATTTCTCAGCGAACCGATATCTACATCATAAACTGTTAACAAAAAAAATATCATATATGAATTTCAAAATTTTTTAAATTCGGTAGAATTTTGGAAATTAATATATTCGTATAGAAGATAACAAATTCATATATTTTTGATATTTTTTTTAGCAAGCTTGGTTTTCCCTTTAATAATTAATGGGTATACCAAAAAATTAAACTGGGCCCGTTTGCGAATTAGAGAAGCCCAAATTGGCCCATTTAATGCGAGTAAGCACTAAGCTCTAATTACAGAAACTCAAACAGGCCCACCGTTAGAGAATGGTTTTTGTATACGAAATTCATTTTACATAGGTACAGTTGCAGACAGACCCGAGACAATATTAAAATCAATATAAAACCTTTATAACATTTATACATTCAAAAAATTATACAAACCCTAAACATAATAGATGTAATATAAGAATGAACCAAAATGTTAATAACTATAAATATTTAATACAATCTCTTTCTTGATTTTCTTCCCGTCTCTTCAATCCCGACATATATGTGTATCCGAAAACGAATGTTATTTTTTTAGTAATCGAGTTTCCTGGACTGAGATCCAGACTAATCCCGAGACCGAGAACCAGCCATGTGATTTGAATTATGCGTTGTCTCTCTAGCCTGGGGTTCGAACTCGGGATGGGACAGACGCTTTGCGTCCACTTTTCACCGGTTGAACTATCCAGGTTAGGTTCCGAAAGCGAATGTTGTGCGAGAGATCTGTACATTTGAAAAGCAGAAAACATTAAATTTATGTAAATATGATAAATAAGTATAAAAAACGACGACAATCTATGCCCGATCATTCCTGGAATATATTTTAATTGAGTTCACAATTAATTACAGTTAATGTTGACCATTCCAATATTATATTCCGACAATGTTTACAGAATAATATTTGATATTTTTTTGTTGTTGTTGAATGAAACCAAAATACACAAGTACGACAGTTTTAATTTAATAAGAAGACTTAAACTAACAAATCATATCGTGTATGTATTTAATATTTGTAATAATATCCGTTCATATCTCTAATGCCCATCAATTTGGAGCGTAAAGATTAAAAACGTCTAAACATCTAAATTGGTGAAAATGAAAATGTGAATAAATACTAAAAAAATCTGCATATAATAACGAAATTTGCGATGGATATTTTCGTGGCAGGCAAGCTGCAAGTTGCCAAGGATATCGTCGAATACATCCATCGCAAATCTACAGCGACAGAAAGTTACCACAATGCGACGGATACCTTGCGGAGAACAAATCTGTCGTTATAGCATAACAACAGATCGTGTTTCACCGGCTCCGTCGCAATTTCGATACAGTATTGCCGTCGCGTATTCGGTGTACGTTTAATTTGTGGTCGCAAGAATCTATAGATCATATCAAAAGTGTATTTTCATATTATTCGTATATCAAAGATCCCTGATATGTTAGGGTTTGATGCTTCTTACAATATATATATTTTTTTGATAATCGGGTGATCCCAAGTCCAAAGGCCCACACTAATCCCGACCCACGCGCACGACCCTACAACACACACGTGGGATGTGAAACACCGAAGGTGGTTCTTACACCTGATATGTTAGGGTTTGATGCTTCTTACAATATTTGTGTTCTACATAATTATCTTTTCGATAAAAATGTGTGTATTTTTTTATATATATTAATCATATATCAAAATTCAAATACGTTAGCGTTTGATGCTTAGTATTAAGTTTTAACAAATATGTGTATCTTCATATTAAATCATATGCCAAACTCGAGTATGTCACGGTTTGATGTTTGGCATAAATTTAATATCAACTGAGATAAAAGTCCATGATAAGCCGAGTGTTTTCCTCTCGCCCCCGAAGGGCGAAACCCTAACTCCGCCCCACCCTGGCTGGCCCACTGCCGGCCGGGAAAAATTATCACTTCCTCCGGTCAGAATCCTCTCCCCATCTGCTTGTTCTTCCCTGGGCTTGGCTCAATTTTTCATCTCCACCTAAAAATCCCCTTCAACTCTAGGCGGGCGTGGTCGGGCCAATCGTCGGGAGCACCATGCCCCCTCGGCTCCGCTCGTCCTCTGCGCCGCCATCGCCAGGCCTTCTTGGACCTGCACCACCAGCTCGCCCACCTTCCCCCGCCTCTCCTCTTCCCACTTCCCCCTCTTGTTTCCGAGCTCATTGTAATGGTGTCGGGTCCTCTCCTAGCCACCGTTCTCTGAACTTGAGATCCTTCTCCCCTTCTCCTTCCCCTTCTCCGTCCTCGGTTGCACCTCCAAACGCCGTTGCTCCCCCTATCCTCTCTATCTTCAGTGGCGACCAGTTTCCACCACTGCCCAAGCTCAGCTCAGGTTGCGCTCTCCTAAAAAATCCGACTGTGCAGTCCAAGCCACCATCGGTCCAGCAATCTGTGAAGCCAGATTCCACTCAGGCCCCTCCACCTGTACTGTCAGCCGAGCCGCCTGCAACATGGAGCTCTAAGGTCACTTCGTCACTACGATTGCTCAAGAAAGTTGGTAATCCCACTATTCTTCCCTCGGGTGTTCCATTGGTCGATATACCGGAGGACTCAATCCTTAACTCTTCTGCGGAATGGGATGATTTTGTTTGCGGCCAATTCTACGGGTTACCCCCATCCATGGGACGTATAATTGGTGTGACGAATGCATTATGGCCTCGCAACGGTGGGAAGATAAAGGTCCAGCGGTTGGAAGATGGAAAGTTTCTCTTCCGAGTTCCGGATCAAGCGACTAAAATGTTTGCGCTTGCTCGACGAATTTGGCATTTCGGGCCCTGCCCAATGGTTGTTTCCACTTGGTGTCCTTCCATGGATCAGGCACAACCTGTTCTGAATTCGATACCCTCCTGGGTAACACTCCGTAATGTTCCGCCGATCCTATACAATGCCGATTGCTTGGAGAGAATTGCCACCAGCATAGGCAATCCTTTGTATCTTGATCGTAGTACAACAGATAAAGAGAACATTGCACTTGCTAGGGTCTTTGTTGATGTACAGTTGGGTTCCTCACCTCCGTCCCAGGTTACAGTCAACCTCCCTAATGGTGATAAATGCAACATCTCAGTTGCCTATGATTGACTACCTCCGAAGTGCAGTCTTTGCTCTGAGTTGGGCCATAGCGGACGGTTCTGC